GCCCTGTCCCTGCTGTAGCTGGGGGCTTTCGGGGTGCCCCCTCACCCCTTTCTCACAGCCTTCCTGGATTTGCCATTCCCAAGGGATGCAATGAGGCTGGGAGTCCTGGTGGCACTCTGGTTTGGTGGGGACGGGGCGCGCGGGGCGATGCCCGGGGTCCCGCTCCCACTCTCCTCCACCCTAGCACTGAGAGCTCCAAGGATGCGTCCAGGCACTGCCAATGGGCCCCTGACACCAGGGCTGTGAAGGGTGCCAGATGCTGGGTGCAGCCCCCCAGCACGTCTCCACTGCTTTGCCATCGCAGAGCAAGCGCTTGAGCGACCGGCCGAGGGCAAGAAGGAGTTTTCTGCCTGGTAGCAGCAAACCCTTAGTGAAAAGCAGACATGACGGTGAGCTGCTGTGGGAAAGGAGAGGTGGGAAGGCAGCTCTGGGAGCTCAGCGGGGTGGCACGGGAGGAATTGCTCCGTCGGTGTCTCCCATCAGTGCTGGAGTTCAGCAGAGGCTCCTCAGTTGGTGGTACCCGGGGACCCCGGGACGATGCTCTCAGCCCCTCTGCCGGCAGAAGGACCGAGGTGTCCCCTCTGACGTCTCTCCTGTGCCACTTTTCCGGGGGATCTCGGGGTGTTTTGCACATCACCGATGTGCTGCCACGACCTCCCCCGTGCAGCGGTGACGTGGGGACCCAGCTATGGGAAGCGGTGAGGTGGGGACCCGGCTGAGCGAAGCGGCGAGGTGGGGAGGGCCCGGGAGCTTCAGCTCTCGCTCATGTTCTGCTGCTGACTTCTGGGTACCGGGGTGATCGTCCCCTGGCCAAGGTCACGCTTGGTGATGGAGCTGTGGGGGACAGGAGCTGGACTGTCTGGTTTTTGGAGGAGGAAAGGGGGAATCAAGCTTTGGCGGGGGTAAGGATGTCCCCGTGGCATTTGCTGAGAGTGTGGTGCCCCCGCCCGGCTCGTGGCAAACCCCCTTGCACGACCTTGGGCAGAGGAGCTGTGCCTGTAGCACATGCTGGAGTCCTGTCCTACATTAATAACACAATCGGATGATATAAAGCTAATATGTTGGGCTGATAAATAATTAAGGGAAAAGGAAAAACCCTCTATGATTTGCTTAACAGGAGCTTCGGAAGGAAGGGAGGGGAAAAAAAGACAAGGAGGGAGATAAATAATGGATCAAGGTTAAATGGTGAGCGAAAAAAGAAAGCCTTAACGCGGTGAATCCCTGCAACACACAATAATTAAGGGAAAAGGAAAAACCCTCTATGATTTGCTTAACAGGAGCTTCGGAAGGAAGGGAGGGGAAAAAAAGACAAGGAGGGAGATAAATAATGGATCAAGGTTAAATGGTGAGCGAGAAAAGAAAGCCTTAACGCGGTGAATCCCTGCAACACACACGCTGCAGGGTGCCAAACTGGTTAGCGGCAGCAAAGACAGCTCGTGGCCTCGGCACTGGCACGGCGGTGGTGTACCGCGGAGGTGCCGGGCGCTGGCAGCGTGCGGGGGCTTCCAGGGGTTCGGTACCGCTCGCGTCGTGCACACTTGGCACAACTTCCCGGGAAATTAAAATCACAACGAGCAGCTAATGAATGATTAGCAAAGGGACCAGTCCCTCCCGCCTTGCTGCCTGCCTGCTCCCCTGCCTGCGCTGGCTGCCCGCTCTGCCCACCCGGCACGGGGGCTGGGACGGGGCAGAGCATCCCCGCGATGCCCACGTTGGGTGCCCAC